TGTTGGGGGCAATATGCTGACTCTCTGTAAACCGCTTAGAGAGGGCTGAAAGCACTGTGAAGCGGTATATAAGTCTAACTGCTATTGCTATATTGCTATTGCTATGTTACAAGTATGAAAAGGCACAGAAATGCAAACGAAATATGTTTTTTTTCAAGTTTGCATCTGCCTCGCTGATTCACTGATGCTTGCAACACCGAGTAAGCATTGCGGCTGTGACTCACAGCAAGTTCCCAGTACGTTCCATCAATTTAAAATCACAGGCTGCATTATCGGGTTATTCCCTGTTCCGCCGGCTTTTTTTCCTGTCTCAAAAGGACTGCTAAAAACGAGAGGTCGTCGCTAAATGCCCAAAGTTGGCGACTTTTAAGACTTGTGGATTTTAACTCTGTCAGGGTGTGTGAGAGTTCATGACTTGGCAGAAGCATGGTAACAAGGTCAGCCAATGAATAGGCCTAGCAACGAAGTCAGCCAATGAGGGCTGTTTGGAAACTGAAACAGTATTTGCTGGAGACAGCTAGGAGCCTGGGTGTGGCTTAGCTTAACTTCTTCACTAAAACTCTGAGTCTGAGCTCTCAATCTAGTCTGCTGCTCTGAACTGAAACTGTTCTCTCCTCCGCTTGTGTTTGCTTGTATTTGCTACCACGTTTTGGTATTGTATATTTACTTCATGTGTTATATTATATATAAAGAGAAGTTAATGAATCTTGCTGGATCAGTTACCCCGTGTGTGCTTTCTGGATGTGTTTGCTGCTACAAACTCTGACAAACTCCCCAGAATGGAGACTTTCTTAAAGAATGGTAGGATTCTTAAGAGGCACCTGTTATCCTACATGCAAGCTACGTGTAATAGTAGCCACTATTCGTGTAAGCAATAGTCATAGCACTTAAGACTTATATACCGCTATGAGCTGTTTATAATTGTCAGCCTCTTGTCTCCAACAATCTGGGTCCTCATTTTACTGACCTCGGAAGGATGGAAAGCCGAGTTGACCTTGAACCGGTCAGGATCAAACTCCTGGCAGTGGGCAGAGTTTGCTTGACACCATGGCGCAGACGACAATCTGTACGAACAGTCCTTGACTTAACAGCCATTCATTCAGCAACCAAATTAGAAAAGCACTAAATGAAAAGACCCTCGACTTAAGTTATGGCCGTCGTACCACACAATACATAATTTTGTATTGAATTATTTCTTTATTTTGCCATGTTTATGTAGTGTAGATTGGAGGGGGCAACCGGTGGTGGGATTCACATTTTGTTACCACCGGTTCGCTGCTCATGTGCCCAGCCTCCCATGCGCTCTCTTCGTGCACCCACATTCCGCACATGCGCCCACCCTCAAAAACGTGCCTAAATAGGACAGCATAGAGTTGGGGCGGGTGGGCAGGCCCACTCACGATTTCCGCTACCGGTTCAAATGAACCGCTCCGTACCGGCTGAATACCACCTCTGGTGGCAAGCGGTACGGAACGAAATTTCCATTTGAATGTATGCTGATTAGTGTACATTCAAAGTGACAATAAAGTTATTATTCTATTCCTATTCTTCTCTACTCTGAGGCTAGCAATCCTGCTTGGATTTCAGCACAGCCCATTTCAGGGGGCACCAGGGAATTCTGGGAATTGAAGTCCACGGGCCTTAAAAGTTGCCATGGTGTTGGGGGACAACTGCTCTAATCTGCAGACGGAGTATTACCTTTCCAAAGATTCAGGACGTACTTTTCTGTTAGATGCAGAACTCCGTGGTCAATGTACTGCAGGACCGTGTGCAAAGGGAAGCACCTCATCCCCACTTCCAGGTGCCGAGTGTGGAATCCTGTATTAAGGAAGACACAAAGGAAGCTATAAGGCAAGGTGGCCAGACATCCCGCTTTTGGCGGGACAGGCCCGATTTTTAACAATTTTCCCGCGTTCCGCAGCGTTTTGAAAAAGTCCCGATTTTTGGAAAGAATGCAACGACAAGCTAGGGAATGGCGGGAGAATGGGAAGGGAATATACGGTTTTGGGCGGCCATGTGGCTATTTTTTTTTAATGTATTATATTTGTAAATTGTACTTATGTTGAAATTAAAAAATATATATTACAATACTATTTTTGCGTTCTATGAAAATTTTTGTTGCTCCATATAGACCATTTTTTAAATCAAGAACACCCCCCCCCTCCGGTCAATGGTGTCCCGCTTTACCAATGTTAAAATCTGGTCACCTTACTATAAGGGGAAGGGCAACTTCCCCGGGGAACC